CGATATTTTTTATGATGACATTTGAACATATAACGACAAAAATTTTCGCCACTAAAAATGATACATTCTACATGTATTATTCATACATTACAATAACATTATTATATTTCGACAGGAAATCCTACTGTAATATATTCCAACGGAAATTTCAATGGATATTCCAATAGTATAACTTCCGTTGGAATGAGTTCTCCATTGGAATCATTCTTTGTATGACTGAACTTTGCTTCGCTTCATTTGAATTTTAGATGAAATTTGATGATTCCAACGACTATTTTTAAACGGTTTTTTACTGTAGGAATTTTGGTTGGAATAGGCAATTTCTGTTGACATTTTTATTTCCACCCTCGTTGCAAAATATACCCTTAGAATTGTCAAAATCCAACGAAAATTCCAATTATGGAAAACTCATTTCACCAGAATATATTTGTTGGAATTTATGTTGGAATCAATTGGAGAATTGCAATAGAAATAATAAGATTTGGAATATCCATTGGAATTTTCATTAGAATTCCATTGGAATATATTTGCGTTGAAATTTTCCATTGGAATTTCATCATTTGTTGTTGTGATATTATTTTCATTTATTTAATGTGCCAAAATATTATTTTTGTATATTATTTGATTTATTCTACAATAATTAAATATAAATTTACATTTTAAAAAAAATAATATTTTCATATAATTCTAAGATTAAATTATATATTTAACGGTACAAATTTTGTCAAATAATAAATTTTAAGATAAATCAAACTCGTATAATATAAAAATAATAAAAAATGAATAAAAGTTATAGAGTAATGAATAGTACGTACCACCCTAGATGTAGCACAATACTGTTTATGACTCTAGAGTAGTGCAGAGATGTAACGCATATAATTTTAACGGATTTGGTTATGCCATAAAAAATAAGTAACTAATTTTAATTTTAAAAAAACTTGCTTAATGAGCAGAAAAAAATAATAATATTTCAAATAAATAGTTTGAAAAAAAAATTACCATAGAATATTATTTAATGTGAATTAATGATTAGTTAGTAATATGTATTATGTAATAAGATAGTAAAAATTATTAATGCAAATCTATAGTAATATAAAGAGGTCGTTAGGAAAATACAAAAATAGTAACTTTTTCAAACAAAAATAATTGTTTGACTTACTAATATAAGTAATACTTACAAACCCACATGTCAAAATGATTTAAAAAAATAAATCGTAAATCTTTTAGCCGATTAGGGGTTGAATATGATCGGATTTTGTTAACAAACATGATCGAATTTGGTAACAAATCTTTTACGCGATCGGATTTTGGTAACAAATTACATATTTATTTACACTAATTATCTGGACAAAAAATTGGTAAATGGTCTGATTTTTTTTATGCATTTCTNCATTCTGCACAGTATGATCGGAATTTTTGGGATTTTTATTGATAAATTATTTAGCGAAAAAGAGGTTCGGATATGATAGGATTTTGTTAACGAGTATGATTTTGTTAACAAATATGTTAGCCGATTGGATTTTAGTAACAAATTTCATATTTATTTACTCTGGCCGAAAATTTTGTATATGGTATGATATTTTTGAGCATTTTTTTTTCTATTTTAATAACAATCTGCATAATATAATCCGATTTTTTGGGCTGTTTATTGGTAACAAATTTCATAATTATTTACACAAAATCTCTCGCTGAAAATTTAGTAGGGGGTTCGAGATTTGAAAAATCATACATAACAAAATTATAAATGATTTTTCAATCAATCTAAAAAATCTTACATTATTTGATGATAACCAACTCCCTTAATTTTGGTAAAAATGATGTCACGTTGATATGACAACATATCCTTCAAAATAATAGTTCGTCCCTCACACATGTAACACATTTTTTATTTTTTTTTTTATTTCTAAACAACACCGGATAAACATCATTTTTTAAGTCAATCATAATCAAATTATTTAGGAAAATAAATCCAACTCAACTTAAAAGCCTTACGTAAAACATGTTTTAATATCAGCATAATAAATATGGCACATACACAATGACTATATAAACATCACCGACATTGAAAAAATAAATCGACAACAAACAATACATCCCACAAAACAAACTTTTTCAAAAGCTTTTCCATCACCATTCAAAAGGACTGTGGATGTTGGATTAAGCAAGTATCAAAATAACTCATAAGCCACCTATCATACTACACATAATTAGGATGTTCCAAAGAGTTAATGATGAGCACAATTGCCGAAATGTTCTTGAGATTATCTTTCACGATTCTGAGGTAATTTGTTATTTTTTTTTATTATTTTTATGCACCGTTTTATGCTACATCGTTTATATTTTTTATTTACTTATTGAATATGTACTGTCTTAGAGAGGACGAATTACTGTCATAATCCAACCTGTCAATATCCAAAAATTCATCAATGATATTGAAGAAGGTGGTGCTTATATCTTGACAAACTACCAAGTGGAAAACAACATTGCGACATAAATCAGTCAAGCCCTATAGAGGAATTGATAATTCGTGCTTCTCTTATAATATGGGATGAGGCTCCAGTGATGCACAAACACTGCTTCGAAGCTGTACAGACATCGCTGCAGGGTATTATGGGAACAATTGAACCATCAAACAAGAACAAACCGTTTGGCGAGAAGTCTGTTGTATTTGGTGGAGATTTCCGACAAATCCTTTCCTGTCATTCCAAAGGGTAGCCGTTAGGACATAATTAATGCTACCATTAGTGCTTTTGACATGTGGAGAAGTTGTATTGTGCTTAGGCTAACAAAAACCATGCGTCTTCACGGACTTACTGATTCGGTCGAACGTCATGAGCTCGCTCGGCTTGCAGATTGGATAGCCAGCATTGGAGATAGAACTATATGGGGGTTGAATGATGGATGTGCAATGATTGACCTACATGAGGACATTTTGCTTCAGCCATTTGATGATCCTATTGCTCAAATTGTTGAAAGCACATATCCAATGTTTAAGGAGGCAACCGACGATCCAAGTTATTTGAAGGACAGGGCTATATTAGCGCCCACGTTGGATGTTGTCGATTCTATCAGTAAGTGCATGACATCGTTGAATTTGTCAGATAATCGTATGTACTTGAGCTCTGTCAGTACGTGCAAGTCAGATTCCAATAATGACTTTTTGTCTGATCTCCATAAGCCCGAGTTTCTTAATAGTATCAAGTGTCCTAGAATACCGAATCATGAGTTGTACTTGAAGATTGGAACTTCGGTCATGCTGTCACGGAATATGGACAATTCTATGGGTTTGTGTAATGGGACACAATTGTTTGTGACAAATCTCTCTACTCATGTTCTCGAGTGTAAGATACTCACTGCAGATCACACAGGTGATAAAGTGTTAATTTCAAGAATGGCTATAACTCCTTCTGATGTTAGTTATGGTCAGCTGTATGTTGTTGTCTCCTGTGTCACTACCAGAAATGGTTTGAAAATCCTAATTTTTGGCGACGACGATTTGCCAAAAACTCAAACCATGAATGTTGTATATAAGAAAGTGTTCAATAATATATAGATTTTATTTTCATTATATTTGGTAATAAGTAATAGCATAATCTTTCCTTATTATATAGATTGAATTTTAACTGAAAATTGTTATTTAAAAGGGATGGAAATAATAAAACCCCGTGCATCACACAGGTACTGTACTAGTATAACATAAAAGAGCGGGAAAACGAAAATAATGATCATAAATATTTTGCTAANTATATATATATATATATATATATATATTGTAAAATGAAATATGCAAAATAAAAAAATAAAATAAAACCCTTTTAAAAACGTTGCAGCCCAATTATCATTGACATTAAATTTGAGCTGAAATTATGGTGCAAAATGATCACTTATTCTTGATTTATTTTTCCAAATTAAGAATTTGACATTAAAAAGGGTGCAACAATTAAGGTGGAAATAAGAAACTAAAATTGCTAATGGGGAAAACATAAGATTAAATGTGAAATCAGTTTTTTAAAAAAAAAAATCACAAATATATGTTAAAAATATCACAAAAATACTATAAAACTGGTTAATCATAGATAAATAAATTTTGGGTGCAAATTAAGGTGCCAACTGACCACTTATTCTCATATTATTTTGTCAAATGAAGAATACAACATTAAAAGTGTGCAATAATTTTGGTGAATAGTTTAAAAAAATAATAATTTATTATGGAAGGATTTCAATTGGACAAATAGTTGATTTATCAAGGCTTCATTTTTTGTGTATTTTAATATATAATATATTAAGTAATTATATATGTTAACGGAGCAGGTGCACATCTTTCACTGGAAGAGATAACTGAAGGTTTTTTTATTTGTCATTTAATTTATTTTGTATTTTTTGTAATGTAATACTACTGTATAATTCCTTTACACAGGTTTTTTATTAAATTAAATATGTCGGATTAAGTTGTCAATATATGATTTCAAACCAAGAATTAAAATTAAAATAAATTATAAGTTAAGTGGGTGAAAAAACACAAGTGTCTGAAATCATGTAAGAAGAATAACGCTACATTTCATATAATAATTGATTAATAGTGCTTGTAACATTTTGATAAAAATGGAATAAACTGAAAAAGAAAAAAATTGTAATAACATGACTTTATAACTGAAATTGGAGGGAAACTCAAATAATTATAAAATATTTTGCCCCTAATTATATATATATATATATATATAAGGGATAATATGAGAATGGTAGATAGTGAAAGAAATAAAAATGATCTGGACTATTTGATCCAATATATCAATAGTCATTCTGAAGTCAATCATTAATGGCAATATGGTAAATAACTTGACATCTCTTGATCAAATTATAACATAAAAAGGCAACTATGTAATTTTATACACACCCATCCAATTAAGTGGGGCTCACATCACCAAATCCAATTCACTTTCTCTCTCTACCTTATCTCTCCACCTTATCTCTTCCTTCCTCTCTCCCCTCGATCTGCTCTCTCATTTCTCTCTCCCTCGGCGGCTCGCCAGTGTATCGAGCTCAGTCGCCACCATGCCATCGTTGTATCTCTGCCGCGCCTCCGCTAAGCATCCGCTGCGATGCAGTAGTCTCTGGCGAAAATCCGACGAGTAGAATGTCGGCAAGCACAATCTCCCACCGATATCATCGCCGGCCGCCAGTCTGACTATAAATTTTTTGTGCCTGCGACCCCACTCCTCCACCACTCTCCAACCGCCCCGAGCAGGTCGTCGTCGAGCTCACCTGCGGTGCCGCCGCTCCCACTTTCTTCTCTGCAGGAGGTGCCGCCGAGGAAGCCTACGAGACGGAGGCTCAACCGACCTCTCGTTCATGGCCGACAGCGATCCTATTTCAACATTGTACCAGTCGGGCCGAATGTATTTCAACAGGGTCGTTTTTTATGATTTGTGCGATTTGGGGCTGATTGTGGTCCATGTAGCGGCGACGAGGATGACAGAGATATGGGGGGCTAATGGCGACTCCGGAGATTGGTGGTTCACAACAATGATGTTGGCTGAAGATGAGTGAGGGGAGGATGTTTTTTGGTAGGGTTTGTTTTAAGAAATTAGACATGTTTGGAGGACTATTTTGTAATTTCAAAACTTTTAATATATGTATATTTATTTATGGATGCATTTTATAATTTAATGAAGATTAATTTATGCACAATAATGACACATTAATTGCACTATATTGTGGGTAGGTGTGCAGTTTAAAAAATAATGTCCTATGTGTATATGAAATTATTAAAAATTTGATAAGTACACCATTTTTTCGATAAATTAATTGCACAATATTGTGTATAGATATGCGCTTTAAAAGTAAAAAAATAAATAATCAAAATGAAATATAAAAACCGTCATACATTATATTATTTATCATAAAAAAACATGATTAGTATTTAATATATTTTTATTTAATATGTTATATTATTTTTTAATTAAAAAAAATTAGTATGTATGTAAATGATACTGTTCAATCTAACAGTTATTAAGGTGCAATTCGTCCAATACTATAGCGCACAACGTCGGTCTGTATTGTGCATACTGAACCAAATGAATATTTGTCCCAGATCAAACTGAAAATGAACATAATTTATTGGTTTATTCATCAAGTTTACGCAACTAGGATAATGTCAGACATGTATAGGGCTGTTTAGTTAAGAACTAGCAGTTAGCTTATTAAAATTATATTTAATATGTTCATAATTTCATATTATTTTTGGTTGACAAAAATTTGAGTTTGGTCAGTTTCGATCTCTAATGTGCAATCTGTTAGTCTTGATAAAATGCAACTAGCTTGTTGTTTTGTAATGTGCAGTGTGTTGTTTTATAAAGTGAACTACTGTCATTTGGTACATTAGCATGCTTGTGTTTTGTGTGGATAAATGATGTGATTGATGTTAAAGTATTATATATAATTCAAAAATCAAAGTGTTGCCCCTTGCATCATCGCTCCAAAATTCAAAGTGAAATTTTTTCTTTGCGTCGTCATGGTTTTATTGGTTCTTCTCCTTCCTCTCTCACTATGCTTACTCGCTCGCTTTCTTCCTGGTCTTTCTCCGATGAGATTTCTGTCACTAGCTCCCGTTTCAGAGGGTGAATCCATCTAATTTGATCAACCATTAATGAGTAATCCTAATGTTGGTGGATTTGGTCGATAGAGTGCAACGTGTTGTTTTATAATGTGCAAGGTGTTGCTTTATTAAGTGAATTGTGCTGATATATAAAATGCACTACTTTATATATCACATATAAATTATGTGTTTTTGAAAACTATATCTTCGTAGATATAATTATACATCGAATTAACCTAAGTAATTGAAATAAATTATTATTTATTATTATAAAAGTATATTTATTATTATTATTATTATTATTATTATTATTATTATTATTATTATTATTATTATTATTATTATTATTTTTGTGCAAATTGCAACCTGAAAGCGAACCGAAATAATTGAGTTATTTTGTTGGCTAATCAAATTAACCTAAATAATCAAATTAATTTATTAACCTAGATATAATTATACATCGAATTAACCTATGTACTTGAAATAAATTATTATTTATTATTATAAAATTATATTTATCATTATTATTATTATGATTATTATTATTATTGTGCAAATTGCAACCTGAAAGCGAACCGAAATAATTGAGTTATTTTGTTGGTTAATCAAATTAACCTAAATAATCAAATTAATTTATTATTTATATTATAAAAATATTAATTATTATTTACATTATAAAAACATGTTAGTAATGTTAATAGGTTTATGTAATATTTTATATTGTTATTTTTGTTCAATATAAATAATAAACATATGTATAAAAATACAGATAAAAAATAATATTTCTATATAATTTTTATAAATTACAGATTTGGCCCATGGGTTAAATTGAAATATATTCAAATTTCTTAAAAGCTTATCTAATTCTCAGCTGAATGCCCAAAAAAATTCAGAAAATTAATTTTATTTCTGAATTTCAGAAATCTGTCCGTTCAACTTCCATTGCTCAGTTGTTGGGTCGCATCACTTCCCGCGGCGTTTGCGAGAGGCGGTGGATCTCGGTGGTTGACTGTGCTTTGAGGTCAGACTGCGTCTGGAAGTCGACGGTTATCCTGTTCGCCGGTGTCGGGTGGTGCGCGTCGATCACCGATTGCTATCGGATGGGTCGGCTTCACCAGAGACGAGCCGCGGCGGCCGACAGAAGGGCAGTGACGGGGCTGGGTTGTGCGGGGGAGGGAGAGAGAGAGAGAGAGAGAGAGAGAGAGAGAGAGAGAAGTGGAATGGTGGTGGCGGGGATACTCCGACGGCTGCGGTGCATCACTCCGGCGGTGGCGGGATTTTTCCCGACAATCGGGTCGAGATGTGTATACGTGATGGTATGTGTGTGTGAGAGAGAGAGAGAGGAGAGAGGAGAGAGACGGACATTTTTTTTTTCTTTTTTTTTGTTTTAATTTTTTCTAGCGATACGGACGTTAGCTGGAAAAAGTTATGTGGGGGCGGGGCCCATTAATGTGAATAGTTTATGAAATGTCCCAATTACCCTTAATGAAAGTGTAATTTTTTTCTTCTTTTTTTTGTCATTAGATCATCCGATCTAATAGCTACGGTGTANGGTTGAGTTATATATAAATATATAGATTTCGTATTCTTATTTCTTATTTCTTATTGTTTAATGGTCTGGTTGAGTTATATGGTAGGGTGTTATTAATACTTCCCGTGATTAATTTCGCACATTAACAAGGACTTATGGCATGATATTGGTATGAGTCAATGACATTGTAATAGAATGAAACATTGACTTATTGCATGATTGGTATGAGAGAATGACGTGAGAATAGAATGATCATTCCCTTACTCATTCACATCCCATGATTGGTGGTATACCTTTTTTTTTTTAAGGAATGATTATTCCAATGAGAATTGTAAAACGCATCTCCATGGTATTAGTCATTCCATAGCAAATGCAAAGTTTTCTCATTCTCATATTTGTAGGTTGAAATCATTCTAACGGAAGCTGTACTATTGGAATATCCGTTGGAATTTCCTTGAGAATATATTACCGTAGGATTTTTCCGTTGGAATATAACCTTTTTGTAGTGATGGGATATAATATAAAATATAATATTTAAAATTAATATGATACAAATAACTTATATTTAAAAATATGTGAGTGAATATACATTAAATTTTATAATAGTAATAATCAATTTAATGTTTAATTGTATTAATAACGTTGGGTAGAAATATCCAATCACAGATGAATAAATATTTTTTAAAAAAATTATATCCAATCACAATTTTCGTAAAAGAAAAAATATCCGACAAAATTGAATGAAATTTATATCCAATGGGGCCACCATATCACACGTCGTTATTTTGTTAATTGTAATTTGTAAGTATATATTTAATAACGCCCTCATATCCCTCCAAATAAAAGATAATGATCAATTTATTGCTTTCTACAAGCAAACATCCAACATGTTGATCACGCATTATATATATTAATTTACTTAATTCATATTAATAAGCGACGACCAACATAAATACAAAAAATATTATCATATCACAAAATTTGGATTTATCATATCACAAAATTTGGATATATTCGTATGCAAATAAACCCGTACGACTAGGTGGGGAGGATTACCCAGAACGCGTGCACATCACTCAATGAGCCATCGCGTGGGGAAACGCATCACATGTTTTCCTCTGCTCTCTTCTGAACCAGCAGATGCATCTCTTACTGTATACTGTACTCTTTTTAACCCTCCTTTTTTTATCCCTGCAACGGTTAACAAAACAAGAAGAGGGTTAAAAAACATTTACCCATCCCCTTCAAATTTAATTCACCAAAGAGCAAAAAAATTGCACTATTTTGGGTAAGAGAGAGAGGATGAGGTCTTATTAAGTAGAAAAGCACATGATTTTTTTACACGAGGGTGGAAATTTTTTTGTCTGCTTTCCATTTATCTCATACAATTGTAGCCTGTATTTCTTTTCCACACTTAAAATAACAAAGGAATAAATTAGCCTGTACCATGGTTTTTAAGTTGTGCATGTGAGTGCCTATAGCAGCTAAAGTGTTCATTTATGTTTTTTTGTTTTGATCATTATTATACATTTGCTTCTTCAAAAGTGTAATACTTGAGGAGGGGAATTCAAACAAATAGTCAACAAATGAACAATGCAGTTAATGTTGATGAGTAGTTTTAAAGAACTTCATATTTGAAGAGTGAAAATTGTCCTTTCGAAGTTTGTATTAAATAAAGAAAAAGGAGGTCTTACTGTTTTAGGTTCATTAGTTAATTGAAAAGACCTGAGTATTTATCAATTTACAAGCTTATATTTCTACATATGTTATTGAGGAATTTACACCACATACTATCATATAAATTCTATATTACATATTTACATTCAATTAATATTTATTTACAAAGATACAAAATTACCCCAACATATTTACACATATACCAAATTTTATAAGTTATTAATTATGATTTAAATATGGAATTGAATCAATTATTGATTAATTGAGATAATTAATACCTTTTTCTTTTCTTTTCCCCTTTTCTTTTCCTTCTCCGTTTTCTTCTGCAACATCCTCCACGGCCACTACCTCTCTCCACGGCCCTCCCCATTTCACCATCCTCGCACAAGGTGGCCGCAACTCACCCAAAATTTGAGTTTTTGTTATATTCCAACATAATCAGGAATGCTGCTTTTGAGTTTTTTTTGTTATCAACTCACCCAAAATTGTCTAATCATGTTTCTCGTGAGCACCTACCGTCTTTGCTTTCTGAATTGGCCTTTGCTATTTCCAATAGAACCCACAAAAACTGTATACTTATTGGCCGTCACCTATACATGCAGAAGCATTTATTGACCTATACGAATTCCATAAATTCAATAGAGAATCTGAGGGAGTTTTGCCCAATATCCGGCCATTTCTTTATCCAGATTAGCCATGTTGTACACGATTTTCAATCCCGTGGGTCCTGCGGTAATCGATCTTGTTCTTGAGGAACTTTCAGAAGGTAATGGTCTCCGACGGCGTTTTCGCAAGGGTTTGGGGTCGAGCCGTCACCAGCAAAATCCTGGGCGAGCCATTGATTCAGGAAAATTGAATTTTGTTTCGATTTTTTAGGGATATTGGACTGTGTTCAGATTATATTAGACTTTGGATTATAGTATATGTGCAGTATATCTATGATATATGTAAATTGTATGATCACAGCAGCATATGTTCACTATATTAAAAGATTTTTTTGTACACTGTTCAGTATATTTCATGTATTAGAAAACGATTTTGATAAAGCATAAATTGATTTTTTTTTCGTATATGTATGGTTTATATTCGGTATATTTTCGGTATATGATAAAGAATTCAGTATATTTTCGGTATATGATAAAAAAATTTATCGCGAGACATAATTTTTATGTATAAAATCAATTTATATCTAGCATAAATTGATTGCAATGTATACTGAATATATACTAACATAAACGCAATATATACCACTTGACAACTGCGCGAATTAAGGAATTCCAGTTGCGCACATATACTGAATATATACTAACATAAACTCAATATATACCACCTGACAGCTGCGTGAATTAACGCGCGAATTAAGGAATTAAATTAGTAAGTTATTTATTTTCATTTCTCTCTCTTATAAGTCAACGTTTTTTTGTATGGTAACTGAAATCAAGTAAATCTCCAATTAATTCAATAGTTTTAGGTACATATGCAATTAAATTTATAGTAGCTGCAAAATCGCAAATAAATCTAAATCTAGTAGGATATATGAAAATTTCCCTATGTTATTTGAAGAAGATTTTAGATCATAATTAAAGTATATGTGCACATCATATTTTTGGAATTCACACTGAAATATGATGTGCACGTATATTATAACTATGATCTAACAGCTTTTTCAAATAACATATGAAGAAATAAAAAAAATAAATTGTAAATTGATAAATAAATATAATTATTTATGTAAGATTTATTTTTGGCAAGTGTTATAAAATAATATCTTGATGATTTTTTTGCAACCAAAAGGAATTAAAAGGAAGATCTATTCCTCCTCTCTCTTATTTAATTAATTCTAGATGCTATATTGCAAAGTATGGTAAGTATGTGTATTAGTACCTAATAGACTTTATTTATGTATGTTGCTTTTATTTCTGTAATCATTGTTTTAACTATTTATAGGGAGATCTTACTTTTAAGGAAAAAGAAGAATCTGGTAGAGGAAGAACTTGTATGAAGATCTCGACTTTAAGTTAGAAAGATTTCGTCCAAGTCTTGATGAAATCAAATGGAAGGAAATCGACTTCAAAGGAAAGGATAAAGTGTGTAAAGACTCCTTACCTTGAGGAGGATGTATATAAGCCTACACGAAGACTCAATTGAAAGTTGCTGCAATTATCAACTTCAATATTCTCATGCTTCTTTGAGTGTTTGTGTGAATCCTTGTTTTCCTTTTTATTCGGTTCAGTAATTCAGTGTTCTTACACTACTGAACAACTAAGTTTGTTATTTCTTTTCTTACAAACATTTAAGTGCTTAGTGATTAAGTACTTGTATAGCTAGAAGAAACCCAAAGCTATTTCGAAGTCCACGTGTTGCGGTCGAAAAAATAATTAATAAAGTCATATATAATGTTTGCTCGACTAGGAGGTAGTCTCAGTCGTGTAAGTCGAAGTTGTATTTTATGCGCGCCAATCGTTCTATTAATGAAAGAGCACTGAGGGGTAGTGAGACACTCTGAGGATGAGGATGAGAACTCTGAGGCATAACCTTGAACGCCAATGTTCAAATACAAACTGAAGAAGATGAGGATTTTGAGGATGAGCCTCTTGATGCTGAGAGCATTGCTAAGGCCATGAGTGTTCTCACACGCAACTTCTCCCATCTAAAGAATCAGAAAAATAAGTTTCGAGGGAAAAAGCTTTTTGACTCTAGCAAGAACATCCATCAGAATTCTGGCGAACGATATTCAAACATGCAGTCTTCAAAGAATCAAAGTAAAAATCAGGGTATTGAGAAGGATCAATGTCGTGAGTGCAAAGGGTTTGGACATTTTCAGGCTGATTGTCCAAACTTCAAGAGAAAGAATAAGACTAACCCAACCACGTGGGATGATGATGACGAGGATACGGAACAAGGAGAATGTTCTGAGTACTCCAAAAATTTTGCAAGATATCCTCTCAATAATTTCACGTGCTACACCTCTTCTGTCCACCTCGCGGACGTTGATTCCAATACGGGTTCTTACATTCATGCTACAAGGAATTTTGAATTCGAAGATTTCTGTGATCCTATGGAGGAAGATCTGTCCATGCACAAGTATGACATCAAGAAGTGCATTAAAGTCGCTAAGGTCATAAAAAAATATCAGGCATTGATCTGAGGAACACGTAAAAGAAATCACCTATCTAAGGGATGAACTACAAAAGACCTGAGTGATGAATGTTGAACTCAATGAGAAGTTGATAAAGTCATATGTTTGTACCAACAAGCAAGATCATGTTCTCAATGATTGTTTGACAAAGGTTGCCTTGTTGGACCACTCGGAAAAACTTAACAAACAGGTAAGTGACGAGATAGACTTTGTCATTAAATATTTGTGGTAATGAGATGTTTGTCTTACAAATGGACTAAGTAAAAGGAATGCTCAGATTATCGCCTTGAAGAATGAACTTGGCCACATAATGTAAGAACACGTGACCTTACAAGATCATTGCGCCAGTATTGAGAAGCGACGAAGCAAGAGTGAAAAGTTGGTTAAGATGGTGAACAAGCCAAAGAATCCGTTCACTAAAGTCCAAAAGCTGATATGGACCTCGGTAACGACTCTCATTCCTTGAAGCTAAAAGGTAAAATTTCTGAAGCCACTACATCACAAGGTAAGTCTACCCAACTTTTGTCAAAGATCGAGTTCATTCGTGTTCGAATAATTTAATACATAAAGTTTTTAAATATGTTTGATTAACTCAAAATTTATTCATTCGAGCTCGTTCGAACTCGAAAACAAAAATATGATTATATTTAGAATTTTTATTAAAAATATTATGTAAATATATAAAAAATAAAATAAAATAATATTAAATTAATGTTTGCGAACATTATCGAACGTTCACGAACGAGCTCGTGTTCGTTCGATTATTAAACGAATCTCGTGAAGAATTTGTTGGTTGCTTGCTTTTGCTTTATGTTGGTTTTAAGTATGTTATGTGCGACTTGTGAAAAATTGATCATCTGATTTCAGCTTTATTTTTTAATGATACTTTTGCAGGGTATGTTGGATATTCAGAAGTGTGTTCTTACACAAAATTTTGATCTTATTTTATATATGTTCCTTATTTTTTGTTCTTACTATGCAGGATGAGATGTGGTCTAATCCTTGTGTATGTTCGAATATAGATATTTGCTTGTTTGTTGTTTTTCTTGAAATTGTGTTGTAGGTCATCTTCAAGATATGATTTTTGAACTGAATGCGAAAGGAGAATATTGTAAGATTTATTTTTGGCAAGAGTTCTAAAATAATATCTTGATTTTCTTGCAAGCAAAAGAAATTTAAAGGAAAGATCTATTCTCTCTCTCTCTTTCTCTTATTTAATTAAGTCTGGATACTATATTGTTAAGTATAGGAAATATATATATATATATATATATATATTATTATCTAATAGACTTTTATATTATATTGCTTTTATTTATATAATCTTTGTTTTATTTATTTATAAGGAGATTGTACTTTTAAGGAAAAAGAAGACGTTGGTAGAGGAAGATCGTGTATGAAGTATCTCTATTTCAAGTTAGAAAGATCTCGTCCAAGTCTTGATGAAATCAAAAGGAAGAGAATCGAGTCCAAAAGGAAAGGAGAAAGTGTGGAAGACACCTTACCTTGAGGAGCTTGTATATAAGCCTACACGAAAACTCAATTAAAGACTGCTGCAATTATTAAGTTCAATATTCTCATACTTCTTTGAGTGTTTGTGTACATCCTGGTTATTCTTTTTATTCGGTTAAGTGATTCATTGTTCTTACACCACAGAAGAACTGAGTTTGTTATTTCTTTTACGAACACTTTGAGTGCTTAGAAATTAAGTACTTATATAGCTAGTTGAGATTCAAAGCTATTTTGAAGACCACGTGTTGTGGCCGGTGAAGTAATTAATAGGTTGGGTATAATGTTGGCTAAACTAGAGAGAGTTTGAATCGTGTAAGTCCAAACTGTATACGCGCAAAAAGGTTTTTATATTTTTTTACTTCCGCTTTTAATTTCAGTGTTTCAACAACCTTGCTTACTCTATTTTCTCCCATACCTGTTACAAATTATGATATAACTGTACATTTGACAGCTTAATAAAGTAGAGTGGGCTTGGAGTCCCAACAATTAGACAAATGTGTCCTGTTTATTAATGTACGTATATCAAGAAAAACTACACTATTATTTGAGGGAAAAATACATACATACCCCCTAGTGTAGATATATTTACATAAATACAATTCGCATGAAACATAATCAAAATAGGATTAATTGTTGATCTTTTTTTCATTTATACGAGATTGTGATAATCATCAAATATGGTTCTCTCTCTCCATATATTGAAAGTCATCTACAGAAGGCGAAAATCACGCAGAGAAAACGGTAAACACATTAAACAGAAAAATGATGGAAAAAACATGGCGATCGTGATTTTGCGGCACGACTACGACCAGATGACACATTAGAAAGGCTCGACATCGATTTCCGTTGACGGCGAAGTGCAGCGAGGTCGACTGAACGTCGACTAGCGACGATAAAAAATCGACGGCTCCAAATCGAGGGCGGCAAACACGTCGACGATGCCTGTCAAGTCTCCGGCGGTGAGAAGCTTTCTGTCGCCACGGAAAGAGACGGATGAAACGGTGTCGGAAAAGTCGGAGATCATGGATCCGTGGTCAAGGGTCTGCCTGGAGAAGATGGAGACTGTGGTAGAATGCGCGGTGGTGAAGTCGTGGGGGGCGATTGGGGAGAAAGAGATGGAATTGATGGTGTAGACGAAGGATTTTGCTGGGGTTGTTTCGATGTATTTGGGGATTTTCGATGTTCTTGGTCTGCAAAAAGTAAAGAAGAATAAGGAAGAAGGAAAAAGGAAGAGAGAGAGCATGGCTGATTACGGCGACACGACTCAAGAAACTCATAGCGAGCGGTTGCATCCCTGGGCTTGGGCTAATGGAGGCTGGCGGAGCCGGTGGTCGCGCGACCTGGGCCGGTGGATGTTCGGCTATTCTGTTTATGTACCGTTTATATATCGTTTATGTATATAAACTTAGCTTCTTCTGAGCGTAATGCCTAAATTTACCTGTGGATGTTCGGCTATTCTGTTTATGTACCGTTTATATACCATTTATGTATATAAACTTAGCTTCTTCTGAGCGTGATGCCCAAATTTACCTGTGGATGTTAGGCTATTTTGTTTATGTACCGTTTATATACCGTTTATGTATATTGTTGAAGTTTATAACCTTTCCTTAATGGTTGTTTACTTATTGCTTACTTTTAGTATAATGTTGCAGAATAAAAAATATGTTTATATGTTGTCTATCTTATGTACATATATATATGTACAATACACGGTATGTGTGTTTATCTATCAGAATGTTTACTACACTGTGTAATATACATTAGTTAAACACGTATGTGTGCGTATGTCTCTATTTTGTGTTTACAACCCGGTATAATATACTTTAGGTAAACACATTACTTAAAGTATGTGTGTGAAAGTCTTTTAAAAACTTAAGATAAAACTACAATACCGGATGAAAAAAAATGGTCCGAAAAGTGCATTTTGATAGGTTAACCTCGTGCAAATCAAATATCCAAAAGCAATAGAACCAATATTCCTTCACTGAAATTCACCAGAGAAAAAGAAAAAAAAAAGCAAAAAATGCAACAAAACATCATGCCAATAGTACCAACATGGTTCAACTCTCCATACACAAAAAGACAAACAGTACTCCTTCAAAAGGTAGGCATATTCTAACTGAATAATGTAAATTTTGCACGTTGTATATCATCAAGCATCCCAAGGGAATCATCGTCGCTCTCACAAGAATTTTCTTGCTTTTTAACACCATGTTGGTATAGCACGTATGAGTACCTCATCCTCTCCGTGTCGGATCGTAGTCCGTCGGGAGATCAAACTTAGTGATGAAGTATTCGGCAAATGAGGTGACAAATATTCCGTAATCACTGAAAAAAAATCCCGTCGACGCTTACGATTTTTTGGGTCAAACTTTGGAATATCAGTGACCGTGTCACTGTCGTCCTTTGGTGCATCCAAACCCATTTCACTCGAATGAGACTCTTCCTCCTCGTCAACATTGAAATCCGAATCGGGCTCTCCTCCTCTTCAACAATTTTTTCTTCGACCTTGTTTCTTCGAACCCTTTTCTTGTTGGGGTCGTCTATGACCTTTTTCTCTTTGTGTTTGATATTATGTTCGGGAGACGAAATCGTCGCCGTCGGTTGGTGAGAGAAAAGTCATTTTTTTTTTGTCTTATGGTGAAGATACACGAGAGCTTAGGAGAGAGAAGCAAATTATTTTTCATGTTTTATGATTGCATATGGAAGGATGGGGATGATTATCATTACCGAGAATTATGCACAAAATTAACTCCCATTAATTGTCTATTGGGTAGTTGTATTTCTTGCTGAGAAACCGCCATATATTTCCTTTAATTAATAACATTCGTACTTATAAAAATAAGTTTCAGATTTCATAATATTAATATTATTTAATAAAAGATTAGTAAGAAGGGTAAATCTATATATATATAATTACTAGCTAATAACATTTAATAAAACCTATTTAATTTTACCTATGTGGCAATTTAACAAATTTCCCTCCAAAAACCGTTACATTTTGATGTATTTAATCTTTCATTTAATCATTAAATAATTAATACTCATCACTTCAAAATTACAAAAATCATTTTAAACTTTTAATTAATGACAGTTGACTATATAATGTGTTGACCGTATAATGTGATTAGATGTTATTATTGTTGTTACATTTAATTATTTTTTTTAAATAAAAAATATATTTGAAATTCCTAAATAAATAATAAATAATTCACAAATAAAAGACGTACCAAAATATACATTACATCCAATCAGAAAATGCAATTTAAAAAAAAATATTACAAGTCTTTTAATTGTAAATTTGGTCTGCGAAAAAGTGAAAGAAAAATAATTAATCATTATATGCATACAGACTCACAATAATTTATTTATATCTGTGCAAATGCACAAGTCGAATACTAGTTTCTCATTATTTGAGTGTGCAAATTTATTAATTATTGCTGCTATATAATAAAGTTAAAAAATAAACCAAAAATAATAATAATAATAATAATAATAATAATAATAATAATAATAATAATTATAATAATAATAATAATAAATAGGACAAATGATACAAGAAATGAGGCTCAAAATTAATATAGTGTGTATTGTGAGCTTTTTAAAAATAAATCTTTATGCATATTTATAAAAATGAACTGAGTAAAGTTTTGACATATTTTCAAAATATTAGTGTGTATTGTGAGCTTTTTATTATGAACAAGTAAATGAATTTTCGGACAAGCATGGTTTTCCTTACAAGAATTTTAGATAGAAAAAATATAAACGAGCTACATTGATTGTCCAATTTCGCAACCTATTTGTCCCGTTTTGCCTCACATTAAAAGACATACATATGAAAATGAAATAATGTTCAATAGGGGTATTGTGTATGTCGTCAAAGTTTAGGATCAATTGTTCCAAAAATAATATTCAAATTAATAATAAAACAATTACCTTACACATTGACATTGTTACCAAAATTTAAGGGTTCAAAACTAGGCAATTTTGTTAAGAAAATACACGTAATTCATTGATACTTCAGTAATTCAAACTTAAAAATATAAATATAAAAGAGTAATTTTCAGAATCTACATAAAATTCGTGCTAGACATTACGAAATTGTTTTTAGAACAAATGAATGGTACTTTTAATACATGGTGTACCAAAAAGTTACTTTTTAAAATGTACTCATCAAAATTAATGTAAGAGAGAATGCAATAATGATAAGTAACTTTGAATAATATACCAACTAAGTTTACTTACAACTAAATAGCAAATATAATTCTCAAAATTGACCTATTAGTTATAATGTATTCGAAAAATCTATTTTTCGATCCAATTTATTTATCCCACATATTACTTAAAAATATAGTACATTTTTAAAGTAAATAATCTGATCGTATTAATTTTTAAATGAAATTTAATTATGTAGGTTGGAATGACTAAAGAGATTGAATAATTATGCAAACTGTTCAATTAAATGATAAATTGGCCTTCATATAGAAATTTAAAATCCAATTATTATTATCGAAATATTTTACATGACGGAAGTAATTACGATTTATCTATATCTAATAAACTCATATCAATTAAAATATACTTAAAAAAACATTATCATCATTCATCACAAACATTTTCACATTAGTGCAAAATGATGAGGACGTTCACGAAAATTCACGTGTCAGTTCTAACATGCATTTCCCAACCAAATACGGATATCTAAACCATTTAACCCTTTATATATACCTTGATACTGCATAATTAAGTTGTTTGTGTTTCAAATAAAAAATAAATAAAATTAATAAATACGAAAAACAGGGGAAAAAACAGAAAAAGCCATGGAATTTGAGGATCAAGAAGATGAGCAGGAGGGCGAGATGGGTTCCACGGGCCCGAGTTACGACGACTCACTGGTCAACTCAAACTCAACTCGCCCTCTCAAAACGCCGCCCTGCCCGTCGGAACCCCCGCCGCCGCCGCCGAGGAAGCTCCGCTACAGAGAGTGCCTTAAGAACCACGCCGTCGGAATCGGCGGCCACGCCGTCGACGGCTGCGGCGAGTTCATCCCCGCCGGAGACGATGGCACGCTCGAGTCCCTCCGCTGCGCCGCCTGCAGTTGCCACCGCAACTTCCACCGGAAAGAGGCCGACCCCTCCTCAGGCGGCGGCGGCGCCGCCCCCCTCGCCTTCCACCCCCACCACCAGCAGCAGCTTCTCCTGACCCACAACCACCACCACCACCACCCCCACGGCCACTTTGGCTACCGGAGCCCCGGCGGGTACCTCCACGTGGCGGCGGTGCCGCCCCAGCGTCCGCCGCAGACGGCGGCCTTTCTGGCCCTCCCCTCCAGCTCCGGCGGCGGCGGCGGCGGCCAGACAGAGGAGATGGAGGATTATTACTACTCCAACAACACCCACAACAACAATTGTAATAATAATCCGTTGATTAGCAGCTCTGGAAAGAAAAGATTCAGGACAAAATTCACCCAAGAACAAAAGGACAAAATGTTGAGTTTTGCAGAGCATTTGGGGTGGAAAATTCAGAAGCAAGATGAGGAGATTGTGCAGCAGTTTTGCAATGAGGTGGGCATTAAAAGGCACGTGCTTAAAGTCTGGATGCACAACAACAAGCACACTCTTGGTAAGAAAACCTAGACAACAACAATAAAAATTGGATCTTTGAGTGAGGGGGTTTAATTAATTATTCTATCTTAAAGTATTCATTTTTAATTAGGTGCAATTTATGTTTATTTATTTTTTTTTGTCGGTTAAGCATGTATGAGCTTAGATCTAGAAAGAATTAGCAGATGGGCTAGGTTTTCAGATATCTGTTTAATTCCTTCGGAGTTTAATTTGTTATTAATGTTGTTATGGCTGCTTAGTTGTTCTAGCTATTTCCAGGTTGAGTTTGAAACTAGGGTTTTAAATTCCTCCATTTTTTATTTTCTGTCCCTAAATGTTTTTAATGAGTTGGGTTTTTACTTTTTAGTATTTTCTTGCATGTGGCAGCTGATGATGAACAAAAGACAGAATCTTGGTTGCAAAAATGGTTTTTTTTGTGATAATTAAAACATGTTGTGGCTGCAAAATGTGGCCCTATAATTTCATTCCTTTCTTCCCACAATTGGGTTCCATTTTTTTCCAGCCATCTTAGTTCATTGCTTTCAGAAAAATGAACAAATTCGAATTCCAAGTGCTTTATGGATTCAAGAGCT